GCAGAAAGCGTTAGTCCGACTTGCTGGACTCATTAGTTGATGTGGGCATCTGCGCTTTTTTTTTCGGAAATAGCGTGATAGGCCTGATTTAACTTATGTTTTAGCTAAAGCTCGCGTCATTACTTCATTATTTTGCGCATATCAAAGCATCCAATTGAACTAATTGTTGTAGTGTGCATAATTGACCAACTTCAAATCCCTTAGAGCGATATGTTATAGTCCGTCACCAGACCGAAGTAGAGGTTGATAAGCAAATTGGTCTGAAAGTCGGATCACGTTGGACAACTTCTAAACAATTGGTGCGCAATAGGGCATACGACACCATCTGCGACATCTAGCTGCACGTCTGCTCACATTGAAGGTCAATTGCGCAAAGTCGGGGGTGGTTTATCTTATCACATGCTAATCATGTGTTGAGGAATATGTAGGCGAAACGGGAAGACTGCTGGGTGTTAGAATCAAGGAACATTTCGATGGACTCGCTAGACAAGAACAACTACACCTTTTAGGTGCTCACCGCAGGCAATGTCATGACAATCTCATTCAAGACGGCTGTCAAGATTTTGTCGCACGAATCTGAAACAGTAGCCCGCAAAACTCTCAGGGCGTTTTAGATTATGTCGCGAAATCCAAAAAAAAACAGGAAAGAAGAATGCATTGCTGCGACCAACGAGCCGGCGCCGTATCAAGCCCACTGCGGTTTTCAATCTAGGGGGTTGAGTTCGGATCAGATGCGGGGAGAGAATTACATACTACTAATCAGTAGCACTAGCGGCTCAGCTTCACAATAGGTGGTCGCTATACATTGTCTGAAAGGCTAAAAAATGTGAACGCTAACTTAGTTCGTTTCTCTAAAACTGTTCCACGTTCTGTAGCTATTGCGTGGGCTCTCTGTAGTAAAAAAAGAGGCGTTTAAGAGAATAGATTGCAAGTACTTTCGACTTTCCAAGCTCTGAAGAAGGCGGAGACGCCGAAACGTCAGCCGAAATAAAAGTTAATTGACAATTGCTTACGGCTCAAATATCAGCTGAGACAATGCCAAGATACAAAGATAGCCGAACATGGGAACTGAACTTCTAAACAAATCCGTAGCTTCTTTTTCCACTCAAAATATTCAAAAGGAAGTTTCGAGTATAGTCTATACATCAAAAGTTGATCCACGTCGACTATGGACTTTCTCGCGACATACCCCTCTGGCAAACTTTGACCCTGCATGTAAAGTTTAAACACGGCTACTGCTCGCTATATATTTCCGGGCTGTTCCTGGCGAGCGGTTTGTTGAAAATAGAGCTATTTATCAGCTAGTTATCACTATTCCTAGCAGTCCGCAAACTGCTTCATAGTAAACTACTCTGAGAGAGCCCGAAAACGTTCCTCTTATCCGACTATACGTTTGAAAAAAAAAACGACAAGTACGGCCTTGCGTTGCTCTGATCCCGCTCTATCTGATCAAAAAAGGTGACTCCGAATGGTCTGATTTTCGTGCCCATAAAAAAGGTTTATATTACGAGTGTTTTCATCTTTTGATTGTCTGCCAACTTTCTATAAGGGAGATACAAGGCCGCACTATGTTTTCCATTTTTTGGAGCAATAATGAGACAGAAATAAATAACACTAAAGTCCAATGAAATGGACGGAGATTTGATCTATAACTACAAAAAACACAAGCAGTACTGTAACATCTAGCTGATAAGTGGATAAAACTTTTTATTGCTCAAAAAATCCCCAAGTCCTAGAAATGACTTTTTGCTACGTTATAGCATGAGTATAAAGAGAGGCGGAGAAAATTCGGCCACTCGATCGTTGCAGTTGACAAATAACAGGGAGAAGCGCATAGAATCCTAATTGCAGCAAATGTACAAACGCTACGATGCGTAGGGTTAAGGGTAGTCGTCCTTCAACCCGAAAGCCGTTAAAGCGCTTGTAGGTTGCATGAGTGGACGGACATTCATTAGCTTCCCACAATGTGGATTTAGGAATTCACGCCACTGGTAAGATAAAGAATTTAGTAAGCAGTTTAGAGCTGACTTATATCTCTTCGCATATTTTGAAACTTTTCTGCAGATCTCGAATTTTTTGATTATTTGTATCTTCTTGATACAAGTATTTTCCACATTTTCAACTTTTACTCATCCGCTGTATCATGGAAAGATTTTCATTTGAAAGAGTTGAAATTATGAAATTACCTATAAGTAAACTCACCATTTGGATAGTAGTCGAACGATTCGCGTCGCGGATGTATGAGATGAACCCTATCATCGGATCGTTTTTTCAT